TAGGTAGGCAGGCAGGCAGGCAGGCAGGCAGGCAGGCAGGCAGGCAGGCAGGCAGGCAGACAGACAGGCAGGCAGACAGGCAGGCAGGCTGGCAGGCAGGCAGGCAGGCAGGTAACCAGGCAGGCAGGCAGGTAACCAGGCAGGCAGGCAGGTAGGCAGGTAGCCAGGCAGGCAGGCAGGCAGGCGGGTAGGCAGGCAGGCAGGCAGGCAGGCAGGCAGGCAGACAGGTAGGCAGGCAGGCAGGCAGGCAGGCAGGCAGGCAGGCAGGTAGGCAGGTAGCCAGGCACGCAAGCGATGCTACTAATGTGTGCCATGGAGAGAGAAGTGTATAAATGGATGCCTACGCTATACTTGGTGAGATGCAGCTGTTGAAAGGTCTTCAGCTGTTTTACCTTCTTATTCTGTACACGCCATAACATCCGGGCAATATGCGGTCGTGAAAACAAACGGCACACAACACACGCATTACGTTGGATTCGTCTAGCACTCAGGGTCTAGTGTTATAATTATATTTTCGATCACAGTAAGATACTGATATAAAGACATGTGATCACACATACACAACATACATGTACATACACACACACAAAGACACACACGCACAGACAAACATGGTTACACACACGCACACATACATACGCACACACACACACACATAAACTTACATGCAAAAGTAGACGTATACGATAAATGCTACCCAGCCATTTACATCACACCACCGGTGACTAAACCAGTTAGAACACTTCACAAATCTAACATGAATTACATAGGTCAGTGGTGGGCAAACTTTTCAAAGCGAGGGCCGCATCAGTGGGCCATGAAAAGTCAAAGGGCCGCACCTTTTAAAATCAGGCGGTGCGCTCTAAGATGATACGTGCGTTTTGCCACAAGGGCGCCATCTCTGGACCATAATTAGCTGAAATGGCGTTGCAGAGCGAACCAGAGACAATAGAACACTAATCTGTATGACACTGTAAAAGTCAGCCTCGGTTCAAGCACAAACATGTTGACTTTCACAAAAATTTATTGATTTAAAAAAAAAAAAATTTATTTTTTACATTTATTTTTTTATTTGCTGCAGGCTTCCGCGGGCCGCACAGAACCCCGTAGAGGGCCGCAGTTTGCCCACCCCTGACATAGGTAGTCAATTGCTAGTCCTAGTGTTCAGCTTGCAATACTTGCTATGCAGCTTCTGCTCACCGTGACTAATCTCTGCACCTAGTACTATAACATGCAGGGGCCCGTCTAAAATCTAGCGTAACTTCAGAAGTGATGTGCCATACGTTCACTCAAATGGACTGTTACAATATTCCATATAATCACTAGTGTCCCTTTTAATATAATCAGATTTAGAGTGTAAAAGAGTATAACCTAACCCATCATACTACACATGCTCCTGGATTGGGGAAATTTTAAAATTCAATTCATCACTTATGCCAATCTTAAACAACAGCTTCCTAAGGCTAAACATTCGATAAACTCCACGCGATATAAAAACATAGATCCGTCATTTTACACAGACACAAGGAGGGATTTCACCTGCTAAGCACTATGATAATAACCAACCAAATACAGTAATGTGCCAACGAATTTACAGCGAATGACCACAACTGAAAGATTACCAGAAACCTACTTTTGCGCAATTTCTCTCATTCCAATCAAACCTGCATCACACCCCAAGCCGAATACTAGGAACTAGCATAATTAAGACTAATACATAAAACACTGCATGTATGTATACATAACTACTAAACATAAAACACTGCATGTATGTATACATAACTACTAAACATAAAACACTGCATGTATGTATACATAACTACTAAACATAAAACACTGCATGTATGTATACATAACTACTAAACATAAAACACTGCATGTATGTATACATAACTACTAAACATAAAACACGAGTGAATCGTTGTACCGCGGGATGTTGTGCGGTTTATCAGCGTATGCGCGTATCAGTTCTTGGCTCACCTGATTCTGAGTGTCTCCCGTTTCTGACGCTCCTGGTGGAGCCGGCACTTCCTTGTTCATGAGCTGTCATCGAGAACATAACGCACTTCAATATCAAGAAACGTGTGTCCACGTTACAGCACACAGACCAGACTATACATCGACTATTGTAGCCATGCTGTCAAAATGACCCAGGACCATTTCTGGCAGGCAGACTGAGAGAAATAGGTGACTTGCCTCCTGGGTTCTTATATTTTATTATTATATTTTGTAATGCAGAAACCCCACTGGTGTCTCAAATATGGTCGATGCGCAAATCATGAATGGGCGCACTGGTGTCCCAAACAGGGTGGTTCCAAAACATCCTGAACTATTAAGTAGTGACCAATTAAAGCGTAGCGAAGTTGTGGTAATTAATTTTTACAGACGCAGAACGATCCGTCGTGCAAATCGAAAGCTCCCTAATGCTAAATTTAATGCGCTAATTCGCAATGATGAAAATCCTAAATCTAAATACTGTTATTTTGGGTTTGATTTTCAGGGTTTTTCAATCGGATTTTTTCTGATTTTTTTCCAGAACTGTTTACCTTTTTTTTTTAAACCCGGATTTCCGGTAAAATCCGGAAAGGTAGCATCTATAATATATATATATATATGATGATATATATATATCTGAGACAAACTACCACAATCTCTGCCTACCAGCCTGTCAGAGAACATGGATCATACAGTAACGCGAGCCTACCTCCTGGATTGCCTTCATGATATACTGCTGTACGTCCTCATCCATTCCCATTATGTATTGGATGTACTCTGCATCGAAAAGGATCCAGAATTAAAGGCGTTAATTTTTTCGACATGAAGTCAATTTTCGAGACGTAAAATATTGAAACAAATATACAAAATCGATCGCTTCAATCAATCTACAAATCAAACTCACCTGACCGTAATTTGACCAGATAGGGCCATTGATCGAAAGCAAACGAACCGAAAACACAATTACGCAGACACATCCGATTTAGGCAGCAGAGGCGTTAGTAAGATTCACTGTGGCTCATACATCCCTGCAGCAGTAGCGAAGGGGTACACACGGGTGACATGGGGAGGTGAGGCGGAGGTAGGTTGACGTCATACACACCTTCCTTGTTCTGACAGTTGACTGCGCATCCGAGGATGAGCTGCAGCAGCTTGCCCAGCTCCATCGAGTCGCCAAACTCTCCTGAAACACGTTCACGGCCACGAGCGTGTCAAGCCCACCAGAGTGCGCCGCTAACTACACGCTGGTACACGCACGCGCACACACGAACACGCACGCACGCACGCATGGACGAACGCACACACGCATGCACAGACGAACGCGCACGCACGAACGCACGAACGCATGCACGCACGCACGCACACACACGCATGAACGAACGCGCACGCACGAACGCATGCACGCACACACGCATGAACGCACGCACGCACGCACGCATGAACGAACGCACGCACGCACGCACACAGACACACACACACACAAAAGACATGCAGGCATGCAAACACGCACATCAGTGGTGCCAATGAGAGGTGGTTGGGGGGGGGCGGCGCCAGACTTCCCATAATCTCCATCAGCCCCCACCCTCCACAGCAAATAATAAGTAATAAATAAGTATAAATAGTGTACTAGTTCTGCAAACACAGCTTTAAGACAAGCCCCTTATCTCCCTCTTACAACAAGATTGCCACCCATAATCCCTTCCTATACACAAATTCTGTAACTGCCACTGACGCACATGTGCACTCACATGCCACCGAAATGGCCTGCATGCCCACACGACCCCACATGTAGGTATTGCCAGGAGACTCATGTATACATAATTGATAATAGATTCTTAATTAATTATACATATATTCATGGTATGAGGCTTACCTATTAGGCTCACGTCAGGCATGGGGAAGTCAATGATCTGTTGACCAAGTACTTGCGAGTAGTAATCGAGAATTCCTTTGAGAATTTTCTTCAGATTGCTAATCTGCATGTTAGAATGTTTTATAGACGAGTTAATCCACAAGTCACCTCTACAAATATCACAAGATTAACAATAAAATTATGTACCTCACAATTCCTGTTACTTACCTAGATTATTCGATGAATTATTACCCTAAAATGTCCCTACATTTTAGCGCACACACTCACCTTTATTCTCTTATTGCTAACTTCTACATCAACCTTGATCTTTGACTTCCATTCTTCGTTAAAGAATCCTGGAGCACTGCGAACAAGAGATTAATGAGCATCACCGACTGACGAGCGACAATCAGAGATATGACACAGTCACGTAACATAACTATTGCTGCAATCCTTACAGCTTAACAACAGACAGATAAAAAACTGGTGCCAAACATAAAAATAACTCCAAAGACTGCTTATAGGGTAACTGTATCAAAAAATATTGGACATAACAAATGTTACACAATTTGTTAAATTTCTTTCTAGTTACAAATAGCCTGTTGAAATAGATTTAATAGTAACTTTGTCACACAGAAGAACCACTGTATACATACGGAATATGTTTAATTTTAAAATTGGTTGTAGCACACAGTGTAAAAATGCACATAGAACACGCATGCATGTAAGACTTCTCACATCTGCATCAGGACTTCACTCATGATCACACCATCACTCAGACTGGTTATGCTGTCAAACTCGGTCTCCACATCAAATGTCTGCAACTGAGAAAATGCAAAAGCCATCAAATTCTGTCCACATCTATATAAATATACATGCTGGGGATAATACTATCAGGAGCGTATAATGACAAAATATTTCAAGAACATATTTGTCATTATACGCTCCTGATACTATTAATAGCTTAGAAAAGTCATCACAAGGTTTACTAAGATTTATAACCAGTAACCACAGAAAGTACTTAAAGGGATACTAGACTCTAGGATTTTACTGCATACAACTGTACTTACTGTATAACAAATCGTCTATACCCACACTTACTTGTTACCAGATACCTAATTTAATTGTTATAATTAATTATATATCAACGCTACGAAATTTGAACGACGCCATTAACACCCGCGACTGTGCTGCCACCCTGAAAAAGTTGCGCATTTCCCAATATATTTTGCACGTTACAGACCAAGGGCTAATCACAAAGGTGCAATTATATTTATACCTAAATGCTATTTAACCGAACGATGTTCATTTTAGGACAAATTTATCCATAATATAACTGAAACTATATGTCGTTTATAGGATATTGCAATCCTTTTGCTTTTAAATTCATAAATAAGAAACACCCTCGGTCTGTAGCCCTTGACTGAAAAGTCGTTTTGCGCAACTTTTCAGATCGTGCGCCACCGTCATTGTAATCAAACTGTAGTTGTTAGTTTTAAAACACTTCTAAAAAAATACTTCTAATGGTGATTAAACCATGAAACTTTTTATGTAGCATAATTTTAACCTAAATTAACTGAAAATAACCCTAGAACCTAGAGTAAATGATCCCTTTAAGAAAGTGATCATATATTTTCACTCATAAAGTTTACAAACCTAACATGTAATTGTTATCTACTTCCATATTGCACTACAGTTATAGACTTTAAATAGAGTTGAGACAAAAATAGGCAAAATAAATTAGGCCGTGGCTACGCGTCCGGTTACCGGACGCCCAGCTCCCGGGCTACACGTCCGGTCATCCATTTCTTATGTGAACCCAACTATATTTTTCCAGTAAAAAAACACTAAACAGTAATTTTTACCACATTAATAATTACTTACGTTTAGGTATTTTATCAAAAAAATGTGTTTTTGTAACTCTTGAAACAATAGTAAATCCAGTATAAATCAACAATTTGAAAAGGGGGCGTAGCCTAATCGTGACGTGGATTTGGGGCACTTGCCATAACATACACGATACGCACCGGTGCGGTTTTTGTTGTGAAGCAGTTTAATAAATAGTAGAAGTCTGTACGAAATTGACCACAAACAACACAATTAACTCACGCGTTTCCATGCAACAATTTGTTACTAACACCGGCTGATCTCATGTGAAATCGATGTCTGGACGCGTAGCCACGCTGAATAAATTATTATCCTATATAATGCATACTACTCTTTTACTAAATATACAACGCCTGGCTATTTTGGGACTTGCGTATATAGACTACCATTCGCAATCCTCGTGATTACTATCATTACAAATCTACCCTCACCATGTGTCCAACAATTAATGCCAATTTGTAAGGGATGGTATAGTAAGGAAAGTTATATATTACTTCTGCCAATAATACCAACATCCACACCTAAGTGGGACACAAATTTTGATGCAGATTAAATTTTTCTCATATTCCTTTTTTTTCATAAAATCAGGGTGCAAAATTAACGCGAGTCTGGAGTCAAATACTCCCCGATTTACTGTCGGACTCCCTGATTTGACATATGCAGGAGTCCGTGTGACTCCCTGAAAATTCTGCTATACTAACTAGTCCGTTCCAGAGCATGGCCTTGTGGAATTACCATATTTTTTTAGCAAATGACCCAAGAAAATTTGGCAGACGTGCACCGCAAATGTCCTTTTTGTTCATATCTGTGGTACTACGTGTATACTGCGGACTCCCTCTTTTTGATGCGGACTACCTCTTTTTGATGCGGACTACCTCTTTTTGATGCGGACTCCCTCTTTTTGATGGTAGGGAGTCCGCTGGACTCACTTGTTCAAAGGTTAATTTCTACCCCTGTAAAATATTCACCCTTTTTCACGTTTTTATAATATTAAATACTGTGGAGTGTCATGTGGTCGAAATAGGAAATTGTACTGTGTGCTATTGCAAACTCAATTTCAGTGATCGGTCTTCCAGCTGTGCTATTTGTTATGAATAATTGAAAATGTGTATCTATCATGGGTAATTTTAGTCCGAATACCGGACCATACCATCTCACACAGAGTCTTGCGACACGTACACGCATGATTGCGCAAGGGACGCTCTGCTGATTGCCGAGTGTGTGTGTACGTGTGTGTGTGTGTGACGTATGGTGTGTGCGTGTGCGCGTGTGCGTGTGCACGTGTGTGTGTGTGTGTGTGTGTGTGTGTGTGTGTGTGTGTGTGTGTGTGTGTGTTGTGTGTGGTGTGGTTGTGTGTGGTGTGGTGTGTGTGTGTGTGTGTGTGTGCCCGTGCGCGCGTGTGTGTGTGTGTACGTGTGGCTTACTGGAAGCAGATTCTGAGAATGTGAATCGCAACAAGAAACAATGCTTTACTTGGCATAAATCAAAACAGTAGTGCACGTGCAATCCATTCGCTACCCATCAGCTGTGTGTGTTCGTTGCGCAAATTCATTTCTCCACGAGTTCAAGACAAGTGCGTACATACCGAGTGTATGTATAGAGAGGGGTGTAGGGATGATACACTGTAGAGACAGGGAGGGTGTATGGGAGGGGTGTAGGATGATACACTGTAGAGACAAGGAAGGTGTAGGGAGAGGGGGTATAGGGATATACACTGTAGAGACAGGGAGGGGTAGGAGGAGGATTGTAGGGATGATACACTGTAGAGACAGGGAGGGTGTAGGAGGAGGATGTAGGGATGATACACTGTAGCGACAGGGAGGGTGTAGGAGGAGGATTGTAGGGATGATACACTGTAGAGACAGGGGGGTTGTAGGGAATGATACACTGTAGAGACAGGGAGGGTGTAGGAGGGGGGTGTAGGGATGATACACTGTAGAGACAGGAGGGTGTAGGGATGATACACTGTAAGAGACAGGGAGGGTGTAAGGAGGAGGGGTGTAGGGATGATACACTGTAGAGACAGGGAGGGTTGTAGGGATGATACACTGTAGGACAGGGAGGGTGTAGGGGGAAGGGGTGTAGGGATGATACACTGTAGATACAGGGAGGGTGTAGGAGAGAGGATTGTAGGGATGATACACTGTAGAGACAGGGAGGGTTGTAGGGATGATACACTGTAGAGACAGGGAGGTGTAGAGGAGGGTGTAGGATGATACACTGTAAGAAAGGGAGGTAGGGATGATACACTGTAGAGACAGGGAGGTGTAGGGGGAAGGGGTGTAGGGATGATACACTGTAGATACAGAAAGGGTGTAGGGGGAAAGGGTGTAAGGATGACACACTGTAGACAGGGAGGGTGTAGGGATGATACACTGTAGAGACAAGGAGGGTGTAGGGGTAGGGGTGTAGGGATGATACACTGTAGAGACATGGAAGGGTGTAGGGGGAGGGGTGTAGAGATGATACACTGTAGAGACATGGAAGGGTGTAGGGGGGAGGGGTGTAGGGATGTGCAAAAGAGACCAGCAGCTGAGCCAGACAGCAGACTCTGATGGGTCCGACCCTTCTACTTCTACTTCTACGCTATATTGGCCACCATCAACATACTGATGATTATGCCAACGGGAGGCGCTAGTTGAGACTAAAATAAAATTTTCCTTCCCTTGATTTTCTAAAGAAAAAAAAACCAAAAAACCAAATTTTACTAAAGAACTGCCCTGATGTCGTTTAGGCAGTAATCAGAGGAAGTTATCAGTAATCGTTAGGAACATAGATTTTCGGCTGTCACCACTTCAGTGGCAGGGTTCTCCCCACGTTGGCAAACGGGGCGCGCCCGCCCCGTTTGGAAAATCTCCCCCCCGTTTGAATCGTTGCGCCCCGTTTAAA